TAATCCTCAGTCTTCCATCTGCACATCGGGGACCATAATCATTTTGAGACTTAAATAATACCTGTAAAGCATGGCACACATTGAGCACTCCAAATACATTACTTACAATTGTATCAATGCGAACAGTCCCCTAGGCTCACGTCCTTGAAAATGAACAATAATTGAAATATGAAGAGCCAAATTGCTATCATATAAGATAAATAAGGGACAGCCCAACACCTAAAGCGACGGGCTGATGACCAGCATTATTCTGCAGATCAGCAAATAAAAAGGGCGGCTCTCAGAACTGCAGAGGCCATGTCATCCCAATCCTCCCATGTGGCAGCCGAGGCCGGAGAGACCCAGAAAAGGATTCAGCTACCTGGTGTAAACACCATGTTTGCGATGGTGGAGTTCTAACGGCTAGCCCGCCAATCTCTGGGCCTTGCCACGTTGCCCCTCCTCGACGTGAATAGTTTTTATTTCAACTCACTTCATTATGGTGTAGAACAATTCATTTCAGAGCAGCATTATGTCCATGCGATGTGAATTTTTCTCAGAAAAGCGTTATAGACAAAGTTTGGGTTTTGTTTTGTTTTGTTTTTGGCAATGGGCCATAGCTAACGTCACACTTAGTAAAGAAAGACAACTTTCTCTTCCTTTAAGATAAAAAACAAGACTGGGAAGCCCATTCTCACTACTTTTGGTCAACATTGTACAGGAGAGTCTAATCAGGGCAATTAGAAAATGAAAGAGAAATAAGACACATTCACATTGAAAGAAGAAGAAAAATTATCTCTATTCACAGATGATACAATTTATAAATAGAAAATCATAAAAATCTAATAAAAGCTGTTAAAACTAATAAATGAGTACAAAAAGTTGTGGGATACAAGATCAATATAGAAAAATCAGTTGTATTTCTATTTACTAGCAATGAACAATCCAAAAATAAAACTAAGAAAACAACTACATATGAAGTAGCATTAAAAAATTATCAATAAACTTAACAAAAGATGCGCTGATACTGAAAACTATAAACATTGTTAAAAAATAAAAAAATAAATAAATGGAAAGGTACACCATATTCATAGACTAGAAGACTTATCATTGTTAAAATGACGATAATTTCCAAATAAACCTACAGATTCAATTAAATTCATATCAAAATCCTAACTTGTGTGTGTGTTGCTTTTTTTTTTCCCACAAAACTTGAAGAGCTAGTCATGAAATTCATATGAAAATGCGAGGCATCCAGAATTGCCAAAACAATCTTGAAAAAAAAAAATAGTACAAAGTCAGAGGACGCATACTTTTCAATTTCAAAGCTTACTACATAGACAGTAGTCAAGACAGTGTGGTACTGGCAAAGGACAGACATCTTGATCAATGAAATAGGACTGATGTCCAAAAACGAACTCTTACATTTATGGTCAACTGACTTTTGATAAGAGTATCAAGACAATTTAATGTGTAAAATAGTGTTTTCAACAAATGGTGCTGAGACAACCGAATATCCACAAGCATTAAAAATAAATCTGGATCCCTTCCTTAAATTATATACAAAAAAATTAACTCAAAATGGATGATAGACTTAACTGTAAGAGCTAAAACTATAAAATTCTTGGAAGAAAAACTAGAAACATATTTTAATGACATTGGATCAGGCAATGACTTCTTAGCTATGACACACGACCACAAGTGACAAAAGGAAAAGATACAAGTTGAACCATTTCAAAACTTAAAACTTTCATCCTTCAAATGATATCATTTATAGAGTGAAAAAACAAAGTGTTGAAGAAAAGATTTGTAGATCACATTATCTGATAAGGACTAGTATTCAGACTATATAAAGAACTCTTACAATGTGATAATAAATTAACCAAATTTTATAAAGGGACAAAGGATTTGAATAGACAGTTTTCCAAAGAAGATATACAGTTTTCCAAAGAAGATATACACATGACCAATAAGCACGTGAAAAGATGTTCAACATCATTAGTCATTAGGAAAATGCAAATTAAAAGCACAGTGAAATAGCACTAGAATAGATAAAATTAAAAAGACATAATAAATGTTGGCGAGGATGTGGAGATAGTTGAGTTCTCAAACGCACTTGGTTGGAATTTAAAATAAAACAGCTGCTTTTAAAAATAGCATGGCAGTTCTTTCAACTGTTAAACAGAGTTATCATATGACCCAGCAATTCTACTCCTAGGTATATACCCAAAGAAATGAAAGCATATAGCCACAAACTTGTGCACAAATGTCCGTAGCAGCATTAACAAATAACAGCTAAAAAGTGGTGAGTACCCAATATCCATCAACGGATGCATGGGTAAATGAAATTAGATAAATCCAAAAGATGAAATATCACTTGGTAGTCAAAAAAGCAAAGAAGTACTGATAATATGCTACAATATGGATGAATCTTGAAAGAATCTTGCTAAGTGGAAGAAACCAAAGACCATATATTATATGATTCCATTTGCATGAAAGTCCAGAATAGGCAAATCTATAGAGACAGAAAGTAGAAGCATTGTTGCCCGGGGCTTGGCAACTACTAAATTTAAGATTCTTTGGGGGATAATAAAAATGTTTTAAACTTAAATTGTGGAGACAATTGCACAAATCTGTGATTATACCCCAAACCACCGAATTGTACACTTTAAATGGGTGAATTTGAGGGTATGAAATTAAATCTCAATCAATATGTTTAAAAAAATTAATGGGCTTGGCATTTTTTAAATTAAAAAAAAGGCAAAAAAAAGCAATGGGGTTTGAGGATGAGGCAGAGCTGGGTTTAATTACCAGCTCCTCTACAACTAGCTATGTGGTCTCGGGCACATTCCTGTACCGCTCTGGGCTGCAGAAAATGATAGCTTTTTATCCCTGAAAAGGAAGGAAGGTGAGAAGAGGTGGGGATATACATCGTCAGGGTCACTTCTGGGGTAAAACAAGCGCATCCAGCTAGACTGTGATTCTTAGTCCCCGTCTATTCCCCAAAAGAAGATGCCTTTCCTGAGTAACCACACACATTATCCCTGGAGCCATGTTATGTGATGGGTATTGACCACAGCTCTTCCCACAGGCCAGAGTGGCGTCTCTCCCGTCAGACAGCAACATGTGTTCCATTTTCAGAACAGAAGCTTCTGCTTCAGCACAGAAGCATCTACAACATTAACGAAACGGAGGGAACTCGGGAAGAATCCTGACAAACTCTAGGCCGTTTTTATCTTACGCTGCTCATTTGGGAAGGTCATCTCCCCACCCAGTGCCCATAAGGCATCAGATGCTTTGAGCTTTGCATTCTCAACAGTGTAATGAAAATAGATGTTGAATGCTAAAACATAAACATATGTATCATTCATAATGCATTCAGATGTTTTTAAATGATTCATGGTTCCTGAAAGTTATTTGACCTATCATGCATATATATCCAAGCGATGTTTATATTAGAACCACAGCCTCAACAATTCCAGCTCCTTGGCATTCCCGTCTACGGAATTAAAATTAAATGGTCAGTGGTCAATAAAAGTTACATGTGATTTCCATAAAATCATTCATTGTCGATTGCTCTGGGGTGGAGAAAGAAGTTTGCATGGCGTTGCCGAATCTGACAGAACACGGAATGCTTGCTTTCTGATGAGGGTGGCGGCGATGATTGGTCTTTCCTAAGGATGAATTCATTATTTCCCTGAACAATTGGTGGTCTTGGATTTGATCTTCGTCTAGGAAAAAAATAACTCAGAGGGCCACCCTCTCTCCGTTCTGTTTAACTCCTGTTTTCTTTAAAAAAAAAAAAAAAAAAAAGCCAGTATTCTGGGCTCAAAAACACCACATTCTTCTGTTTTGATGCTTGCATAAATTTGCATGCTAACATGAATGGTTCCAACTTAAAGAATGTAAAATGAAATGAAATTTGAATTCAAATCCAAGATGGAGAGAAGATACAACTAAAAGCAACAGACTTTCAATCTTGTGGATTTTTTTTTTTTCAGGAACTAGATTAGGAAAGACATAAACACACACACACACACACACACACACACTCTCACTCTCTCTCTCTCTTTTGGTTTCAAAGGGTGGAGCGCGAGGTAGGTATCCCAAAGAGCTTCCTTCCCAACACACACACACACACACACACACACACACACACACACACACACACACGTACAAGTATTTGCAGATCACACAGCACAAATTCCAAAGCTCTGTTTTAACGACCGAATGCCACCATAAGACTCAGAAATATGACTCAGATGACGTACTCACCATCAAGTTTCTACTTTCGGAGGCCCACCCAGACACAATGAAATGTAAGGAACATTGTGTGAGCAGCTCGAGCAAATACAGGCATGAATGTGCCTCTGCCGGCCCTACAAGCCGTTTCTTGCTTTTCCCTTGATCTTCTCATTGCATTGGGAAGGCAGTGTGGCATAATGGTTAGGTATACAGACTGCACGTATGAGACAGAGACCCACACTGGAAGCCCAGATCTGCCCACCACTTCCCCAATATATGACCTCGGGCAAAGGGCTTAATCTGTGGACTTAACTTTGTCCCACACTTTCAATTACATGATGATAGTACCAGCCTCACAGACGTATTGTGAGGCCAAAATGAGACAACATCATGCACATGGAACAGTGTCTAGCGTAGAACAAGCATTCTGTATGGGTTAGCTGTGGTGGTAGTGGTTGGTATGGGGAGGGGTATTATTATTATTCAGTATTTGAACGACGGCCCCCAAAGAAACTGGGCCTGAAAGTGTTTCTTTCTTCTCCAACCTGCCCTCCCATCTGGTCCAGATGACACCACCCAGGAGAGAGAGACAGATCAAATCATGGCGAAAGCCTGTTGCCCACGAGCTCTGACAACAAGAGCTGGACAACAAGAGCTGGAACTCTCTCATTCCATCCCCTCCCACATCCACCTCCTCTTGAGACCCAGGCTCCCTCTGCTAAGACGGTCTGTAAGCATGACACCAGGAAGTTAACAGAGAGATCATTCCATCTCACCTCATCATCACCTTCCGTCGGAGTTGCCTCCAGTTTCTGGACAACCGACTTGTTGCTCTCCTTAAGCATTTTCTCTCGAACTTTGGTTTCATACTCAGGCCGGGAGTGTTCCTAAACCAAAGAATCAGGGAGTGGTTAGTAAACAGGAGGGACAGTGGCCTTGGCCTGTGGCTTCTAACCAGACACCACAAGTACATGAAAGTCAGGGCTCAGGATTGGACGCTATCGGCTATGAACTGCCACACCACACACCACAGCGAGTCTAGACGGGACATCCTAACATAAGAACACAATGCCAGGGGAGGAGAGGGACATACAACACTTGTTACCAACACAGAAAACCAAACCTGGGCACGTTCCTGGGGAGAGCGCCGGTGTTGAGAAAGAAAAGAGGAAATGTTAACTGGAGAAACAGATGTGCCCCACAGCTGGAGCAAGGGCAGCCACACAACTCCTCCCCTGCGCCACTATCCCGTGAGCTAACATGGCGGCCAATAAACATCAAAGTGGAAGGCGGCCACGGGGAGTCTTAAAACTCTCTTGCCCGAACCTGTTTCCTGGACAGCCTCTGTGAGTAACACATCGGCAAGGACGCCAGTGTGTACTCAGGAGACTTCACTGGGCCATTCAGCTATCAAGCATGAATTCTGAGTCACCAGGCATGGGAAAGCGCACCTCGCTAATCCAGGGGGTCATGGTCAAATCAACGCCGACCCTGGGAAGGAACCGGTAAGACTCACTTCAAAGAGAACTTAACGGTGTACACCTGGTCTCACTGGTGGGTCTTCCCTGCAGCTTCCGGTTCAAGGACAAACATCTACAGGTGTGAGGACCGTGTGTTCTGCCTCATTCACCGAGAACTCCTAGACAGGAATCTCAGATGCTGGCTCACAGTGGACTCCGCTGCTCAGGGAACATACATTTCCTTATCACTGCTCATATGTCAGAGACTCGAAAGGCCAACAGACCAGGCTCCTGACCTGTCTCCGGCTTTCCCAAGACACGCCGTGACATTGAAGAGGAGAAACCATGCAAGTTTCTCTAAACAGCTTAACAAACTTAACTAACACAACAGCAGGTGATGCCATTCAAGGGTTTTTTTAAGGCCTTCCATCATCACCCAGTCTCCGAGGGGACATGAGTCCTACCCCTTCCAGGAGGCCTTCTCCGACTGCTGCAACAGACCTACCAGGTGGGGTCTCCTCCCTCTCTGAATTCCTAGGTTTTTATAGCTCATACCACACACTGTAGCTCTTGATTGCGTGTTCATCTTTTATTTTTTCCTAGCTGTTTTGCATGTGAGAGTCTTACCCTAACATAAGGATCGGCTACTTGCTCTGTATTATTTCGTGTTCCACACAGTAATTGGCACCATGCAAGACACACAGAAACCTCAAAATACCTGTGAAGTGCATTTGATTTTGTCTCTCACCTTCTTCCATTCTCAAACACAATATTTCCTAAGGTGTGTGCCAAGAGAATGTTAGCTAAAAAGGGATTCCAGGGCCTAAAATATTGGAAAATACTGCATAATGTATCACCTGAGAGTCACAGGGAGCATATTCAATGCTCTGAAAAGTCCTACCGTAGACATGTGCTTAATTTTCTTAAGCCCTTCGGTTTCCCACAGAACAACTTTTGCATGTAACAAAGTCCTGCAAAAAATACTTCAAGAAATGTGCTTTGAAGTTTTCCTCTATACCCCTGAAATCTGGTTGCCTTTCGATATCAGTCCGATGGGAGATTTTAATTAAAAGCCGTAGCAGTATCTTTCACTGAGTACCACAGCATGGGTTTTAAACCTTTTCAAGCCAGAGAGACCACGTCCCTTCCAGACCCTATAAACAGGCTGAGGAAGGCTCTCCTGAACTCACCAGAAGGTCTCCAACTGTCTCTGGCTTTCCAGACAATGCCGTGGCATCACAGGGGGTGATTTCCTTGTATCCTCATTGTGGCTGTGGCCCACCTCCCCTCCATGCTGGGCTCCAGCTCAGGCCCTCTTCATCTTTTGAGAACAAGTCCAGCTTTCTGAGCACACAGACAGGAGTCCAAAGCTCAAAGCAGAATCAGGCTGCTCTGCATTCAGCTAAAGCAGGTGAGACAAGGATCTCCCCGTTTGTGGCCAAGTAGGTAGGCTATGGTTTCAGAATCCCTCAAAAGCAGACAGGTGAGCATCTGGCCAGAGCAAACTCTAGACCCTATGAGAGCTACTTCAACACACCCAGCCATGGGCAGGTCAACCTTATTCCTGATGTTCCCCAAACACGACCTCCCCAGCCCGGCGATCTGACGCCAAATTCTCACAAACACATCACCCCTCCCACCGAGACTTGGGGAACTATTTCCACTGGGTCAACCTCCTCAGGCGCTGGCCTAGAGGAAGAATGCCCTTCAGGACCACCCTTGGCTGATCTGAAGAGGTAAATCCAGCCATGCATTCAACGCACGTCTTCAACCAAGAGTCATCAAGCCTCTACTCTGCCCTGAGTGATGTCCTGGGCACTGAGGCAACTGCGCTGGCCCTAGGGACATGCTCCTCCTTTTATGGAGTTTATCTCCACGGGGAGGAAGGGGACAGTAAGCAAAGCAACACACCAGTGGGAAGCTAGCAGATGAGGATACGAACAACAGAAGAAATAAAGCAGGATGCTTGCTTCTGACTAGGGAATCAGGGAAGGCCAAGCTGAAGAGGACAATGTTTTCACGGCGACGGAAAGACCAAGGAAGGGCAGGTCACGTGGAAGCTGAGGGACAAGCATGTGGTGCGGTGGGAACAGCCAACGTGAAGACTAGAATAAGCGTGAGGCAGAATGAAGGTTGACCTGGCTGGGAGGTCTGAACTGGAGGGAGCAGGACACGAGGTGAGCTCAGAAAGGCAGGCGGGGCATCTGGTTTCTGGTGTCAGGGGAAGCCACGGAAAACTACTAAAGCTTGATGTGGTGGGTGAGCGGTGGGAGACAGATGGGTGGACAGGGCATCTACACTCAGACCAGGCCACACACTCTAAGAGGCCCCAGGTGTCACTGATGTGACCGAATCTCAATGGGCACGATAGGCTCGCTACACTGAAGAGTGTCTCACATCTTAGAGTAAAAAATTCTGGGGGTCTGTTAGACCTTCTTGCGACCAGTGAAAACAGGAGCCACAGAAGTCCTTCGGAAAGTCCCTTGGTGGTGTCCACAGGGACACCCCATAGACAGGGCTGTGCGGGCCCAGTGGGTGGGTTCTTGGTCATGGTGGCTTGTCCTTGCAAGATCGCAATTTCCAGTCTTCCTCTGGTTTCTTCCTCATTTACAAGCTGGGCTTGAGCCACCTGCGGGTCCCACCTCGTTTGAGGTGGCCCACATCCTGGGAGGCCCCAGCTGGGAGGGCCAGTGGGGGAGCAGGCTTTGGTGTATGGGTGAGTTAGCACCCTCCTTTTTTTGAGGAACAAGGGTTTCCCCCAGTGAAGACCATGGGGACGAATGGTGGCTTGGTGTTCAAGACAGCTGGCCTTGGAAGCATTCTGGGGGGAGTTGTCTGGTTAAAATAGAAAAACTAGCCGGGCTCGGTGGCTCAGCCTGTCATCCCACGCCTTTGGGAGGTTGAGGTGAGTGGATGGCCTGAGCCC